TCCCTAACTAACGTCTTCACATTCTAGAAGCTCTATTTATGCTGGTAGTGATTCTAATGTCTTTTGGTCATTTCTCATGTTTATTACTTTAAAGAGCTTGTAACCATGTGTGTGAAAAGTAGTTTTCCAAGTTTCAAACCCCTTGGAATTTCCTTGGTTTTTCATTTGGAATCAGACTTAAGCCCTTCCAGGTTCTGTTTACTGCTAGCTAATGATGACTTCCTTATCCAAAAGGGGGAAACACTTTTGAACATACATTAAAATGTGTGTATGATTTCTGAGACATCAAATAGCTGGAATAACAAGTCAACATTTTGATGAGTTAAGTGTAAATTAACTAAAAACATATGAACTGAATTCTTCTTAAAGCACAGATGGTTTGAGAAACCTAGAAGTGCCTGGAAAAAAGTATGGCTTTTATTATCACGAACCCCCAAAGTTTGAAAAAGTTGTTGAAGATAATTTCCATCTCTTTCCAATTGTGGCTTTAGATTTTTAATATACTGTATCCTTTTTTGTTTAGTTTTTAATCAGAATCATCTAAGGAATAGAAGTCCTTTCTTCTTCCTTCTTTTTCTTACTCATTGATGAGTGGGCATAAAAGGCAAGAAACTCATCTTCTGAAAGGTGAGAGTGCTAATCTGATAAAGTAAATATCAAGACACTGCTCAGTAATGTCTTCCTGCGGCTGAAACACTGGAGTGTGAATGAACCTATGTGGTGCTCCACTCCAGCTCTGTTTCCTTCATTCTGGCAGAGGCACCTTTATCAAATCACAGGTTAATATTTTACATCATCGTTGCCTGTGATATGTTCAATCATTGCATAACAGGTGAACCTTAAGATCCTTTCCAGTTTTTTGCCATCCGGAGGAGTTCTGCTATACAGATCCTTGCACAGATGCCCTCACATTCTGGGGCCCTGATCTATGCAGTGCAGATGCTCAGAAACGGGACAGCTCAGTCAAATAATATGGATGTCTTTATTTTATAAAAGGTATAACTACATTACTTTCCAAAAGGAATGAAGAAATGTATAAGAATGCCTATGTCTCCATACTTATTTTTGCACATTTGATGGATGAAAATACTTATTAGTTTTTCAGAGTTATTTTCTATTCCATTAATCTCACTTTTGTTTGACTGAGTTTTTCTAATTTAAAATAACAATAATCCTGATAATAAATTGTATAAAAAGAAAAGTGTTAATGCAAAATTTAATACAAATGAAAAAAGGAATGAGGTTAGCTATGTATTGACATGGGAAGAAACCCACCACAAACTTAAAAAGCAACATCAAGATGCAAAACAAAATAAATAAAACAAAACAAAATAAAAAATCTTTCACAGGTGAATTCTGAAATGTTCTCACAGTACTGCTTCTGGTACTCTCTTTGGAGGAGAGACCTTTCACGTTTTATGGTAAATACACATTTGTACTGTGTAAATTTGTATGAGTGTGTATTATTTTTTCCTAGAAAAATTTATAAACACTTCAATTGATAAAAAAAAAAAAAAGCAGTTGATCACAGTATGGCCTATAGTGGTAATATTGTTTTTGCCAAACAGTAAAATCATCGTTTTCTTATCTTAGTAGTGCTAATGTCTTATACCGAATTTGACCCTGTTTTCTAAAAACTATCATCATGCTCAGACTGGTATTCTCCAGCATGGATTAATGTCTCTGCTAAATTCTTCTGGCTACTTACTTGGTCCCTGATTTTATCTAGTTAAAAGCAATTAGCTTAAGTCACATTACTCAGGTAAGAAAATCAACATCAGGAATGCACTTCCAAGTGGAATGATTCTTACTGTTAAAATAGGATTTCAATTGCCAAGCTGTTGGTCTCTTAAATGTCACTTTAGACATTGATATTTGTCCAACCTCTCTGACAACTTTTGACATGGGCCATGCTAAGTGTTTGAAAATGACATATATGTATGAGACTAATTTCTAAGTTGGTTCTGTGGTATAATTTTGTCTTCAAGGATATTGCTGTCATTTGTAACTTTTCTTTCTGGGTGAAATATGACTTATTCTAGTTAAGTAAGTGTTTTAATCACTTAAATTCAAAATGCAATGTCACAAATAAAAAATCAACTTTATGCTTTCTTCATTAAATTACTGGAAGATTTAAAGTTACATCATAGTGGTAAATGAATATACAAATTGATCAATAAAATGACTAGAAACTGTAGAAATAAACACTATATAATATAATATTTACTATGTTATATCACAATATATATTATATAATAAAATTTACATTTCAATTAAGTTAAAGGATAGATTATGTTTTAAAAGGTGGTAATACAACCAGGTAACCATCTAGAAAAAATTTAATCTCTTTCACCTTATACCAATATAAATCCCAGATGGATCAAATATTTAAACATAAAAAAATGATACCATAGAAGTACTAATAGCTTGGGAGAATTATTTTTATGCTCTCAGAGTAGAATAGTCTATTCTAATATGCTACTAAACTAAGAAACAACAAAATAAAAAACGTATTAGTCAGACTACATAAGAATTTTCTGCATATCAAAATACACCATTAATAAGCTAAAAGACAAATGATAAACTAAGAAAAAAAGTAAAATGGCATATCCCAAGTTAAACACTCATATTCTTAATTCATAAAGACTTCCTAAAAATCACTAATGTCACCAAAAGCTTGGTGGCTTTGACATGCCACTGTCATGGGATGCCTCCCAGCATCTATACTAAGACTCTGAGACTCATTCCTTATTCTTCCCCATGCAAGGGCTTTACCATCAACCCAAGTCTGGGATCTAGACACCAGTTCTAGGAACCCCAGATAAGTACCCCGTTGTTTACAAATCTGTCTGATTGTAGGTTTCACAAGTTCCTGTTAGACTTCTATCGAACGGGGCAGGAGAGCCCTTTTAAACCCAGGAGGCAATACAGTCCAGCAAGGCCACTCGAGTTCTAGGATCCTGCCATTCAAGTGTAACTGAGTACCAGTGAAGTTCCTCAGCCATCCCTGCCTGTGGCTGCCTCCCTGCGGCCTGCCCCTCCCACCACTGCCTGCCTGGCCCACAGAGCACCAGGCGTGGCTGGTGCCAGGATCGGGGCTGGGGTCAGGCAGGAACCCCCGTGACTGCTTCTGTCCATGCAGGTTGGCACCAATTAAATCCCCACTGTCAGTTTTCCCTGGAATCCTGTGGGACTGTTTGGAGGCAAGGGGCTCCAGGTCCCATCTTTCACCATCTAAATCACAAATCTGAAAAGAAAAATTTGCTCTACTGGGGGCTTCTGGCTACCTGGAGTCCTGGCAGTGTTCTGTCCAGTGTCCTTTCTGTTTTACAAAAAGCACACTAACTACACATAAATTATCCTCTGGCTATGGGTGTCCTCTGGCCAAACTGAGCTTCCTGCAGGGACAGACCATTCCAAACCCCAAGTTACAATTTAATGGCGTGGTCCTGGAGAGTTCCTCCTGGCCTCCCCCGCCCCTCTCAAGGCAGGGGCAGCATGCAAGGAAGTAAGATGTCCCTAACACACCTTAAGTACCTTGCTCCCGCTCTAGGCAAACACCAAAGGCAGGCATTTTTCAGGGTTCATCCTTGATAAGAGGAAATCAGATTAAGGAAAACTCAAGCCAAATAATAGTTGTGTAGAGCACAATACACAGTTGCCCTGGGCCAGAATCCACACAGGCAGGGGAAGGCACTATTCCCAGCTGGCTCCTGGCCTCTGGCCCCGGTGGGGCAGTCAGGTGGCAGGCACTCCCTCCCTGGCCTTCCCCCTCTGCAGGGTGGCAGGCTGCGCTTGTCAATCACCCTTCCTGCCAGGGCTGCAGTCCCACGCAGTGCTCTGTCCAGGCTGGAGCCCAGCCGCAGCCCCAGACCTGGTGTGGACTGACTGTTTGACAAAGTATTGGGACTATACCGCCACTGCCAGCAGGGTTCTCTCTCTCCTACCATTAACTTTATCCCAGGCCTTTAAGATCCTATTAGGTCATTAAATATGAAATATCCAAACTTGAATCAAACTTGAAGAAATTGGACATTTCATACCCAATAACCCAACACATATGGGGTCTTGTCTCGTTTACCTGACTTTGACAAAGTAATTCCAGTTGTAAGACAATGTAAGTCAAGGTTCACTTAATAGCCACTTCTCCTCACTCCAGCACGTACACTGGATTAAAACACCACCACTCTCTTTACACGTCCACTCATAGCTATAAGTTGACCATTCAGTCAAAATCTTTTCCAAGGAACTTTTAAATAGAACTTCCTTATATTGCAACAGAACTTTACAAACAAACAAAGACAAGCAATACAGGGAATCCCCAACACAAAATGCCACGGCCAACCAAATGGGAACCAAAAAACAAGAACGAATTCTCAACTGAGAGTCAGCATCTCCTGATCCAAAAGGGGACAAACGGAGAATCAAATTCTCTCAGATGAAAGACCCACCATCTCCCAACCCCCCCCCTAGTTCCCTGGGAGCTGTGAATGAGCTCACCCAAACCAGGTTCCCTGGTTCCACTCGGCCTCTTGATTTCCAACAACAAATCAGCGTCTCAAAACAAATCCAACAGGGAGGTTTGCAAACACCCCAACGTGGGTGGAAACAGGGTCTGGGGCCATCCCAGGGAACTTGACTTACAAATGGCTACGATGTCGCAATGCTTCCCGAGCCTGTTTCCTTTTCAACTCAGTTCGGGTTGTGAGGAGCTGATCTAATTCGGGGAGAAAGAAATGGGAGTTTCCTGGAGGTAAAACGCGCTCCAGCAGCTGCTGCGCCTGTCCTGTCGCCTCTCGCCTGGAAAAGAAGCTGCTCCTTCCCGTGAAGACCCCCGGCCCGCCTGGGCGCCTCTCCCTGCTTCCCCAGCAGGGGCAGCCTACCATTCCCCCACCAGCCAAGGGCCACCCAGGGACGCCACATCTATTACTGTGAGCTCAGCACTTGTCCCCAAGGCCACATCAGAAGAACAAGGACAAACGGTTTGAGGAGAGGGAGAAAGGAGTTTATTAACTTGCCAGCAAATGAGGAGGATGGATATTCATGTCTAAAAATGCCGTCATCTTCATAATTAGCAGAAATACAGAGCTTTTAAAGGGCAGGTTCTCAGCTTCAGGCAATTGCTGTTCGACTATTAATACAATTGATGATTCTGATTGTCCCATCTCCACCTAAGACAATCCTGTGACCCCCACACAGGACCTCCGTCCACCAGGTCTGGGCAGGCCGGCAGTTCCACTGAGCCATCTCCTGTAGCACAAAGAACAAAAGATATTCCCCTGGCCCGAGCCACTGGCCTGAGGCAGCGATGCAGGTCCTAGTTCTCCAAAAGGAATGTGCAATGTTTTAAAGAGACATAAAATATTTTTGCCTTTTATTCTCAAACCATTCCTTCTGTTACACTAACACTAAAAAACTGATGAAAAAATAGAAAAAGGATAAAAACAAATGAAATGTTAAAAGCCTCTTAACTTACACAACATTCAACCTCACTGATAATAAAATAGATGCCAATTAAAGCTGTGAGATACCATTTTTTAACTCTCACTGTCAAAGATGAAGAAATTACAATCTGTTGATAAAGACAAAGGGAAACAGACATTCCTATTTATGTTGATAAGACTGTAAGTCAGAATAATGCTATTGTAAAGAATTTAGCCACATCTATGATAATAAAAATATATATTTGAACCAGCAATTTTACTTCCAAGAATTTATTCTACAGATTAACTCACACATATTCAAAATAACACGTATTGAAGGAATACTAGCAACAACCAGTGGGAGTCTGATTAAATAAATTATGTTATCCCCTCACATTTGAATACCATGCCGCCATCGGAAAGAATGAGCCGGCTCTGTGGGTAGTGACATGTACCCATAAATATACATTAAGCAAAAAATGGAAGATACAGAACAGCGTGCACAGTATGCTACAAGTTGTCTTAAAAAGAAACAAGTAATGACAGTGATCTAGCACCTCTTATATTTTCCTGGATAGAGTTTGAGCCCATTATCCGAAGTGAGGGATCACAAGATTGGAAGAATAGGCTCCACATGTGCTCGCCAGCAAATTGGCACTGGCTGATCAATACTACGGTGCTCACACGATAGTGATATTCTGCAGGGATTGGGGGTTGGGGTGTGAACTCACAACTAATGGATGTGGTGAGCATTATGGAGAGGAAGGGCATGCCTCCAATCATTGCTTGGGTGAGGCAAAGACATAAAATGTCACCAAAATGTTTGTGCCCTCATAATATCCTGAAATAAAAAGAAAAAAGTAGACGGGGCATGTTGGCTCACGCCTATATGGTGTTTCCCTGAAAATAAGACCTACCCATAAAATAAGCCCTAGCAGGATTTCTAAGCATTTGCACAATAGAAGCCCTACCCCGAAAATAAGCCCTAGTGACGGGCGTGGCTACGCAGCGCTTCTGCACAACCCATGCATTTTGTGGCAGAGCGGTAAAGAAGATGTAGCCCTTCTCATCTGCCCCATGGTGACAGCTACTATCTCAGAGGTGACCGGAAAGGTGCAGGCAGCCCCACCAACAAGGTGGGCTCCCTCTGTCAGGTCCCGGCCATCCTGTGCGTGCTGCGAGCTGAGGCTTTGAGGGGAAAATAACACATCCCCTGAAAATAAGCCCTAGGGTGTCTTTCTTGAAGAAAAAGAAAGATAAGACCCTGCTTTATTTTGGGGGAAACACGGTAATCCTAGCACCCTGGGAGGCCGAAGCAGTAGGGTCGCTTGAGGTCAGGAATTCAGGACCAGCCTGAGGAACAGCAAAACCCTGTATTTACTAAAATAGAAAAAATAAGCTGGGCATGGTGGCGAATGCCTGTAGTCCCAGCTACTCGGGAGGCTGAGGCAGGAGGATCGCTTGAGCCCAGGAGTCTGAGGTTGCTGCGAGCTAGGGTGACGCCACGGCACTCTAGCCTGGGCAACAAGCGAGACTCTGTCTTGAAAGACAAATAAAAAGGAAAGCAAGAAAGAAAGAAAAAGAAAAAAGTATATGTATAGAGCAATGATCCCTAATCTTTTCGGCATCAAGGAGCAGTTTCATGGAAGGCAGTTTTTTTATGGGCAGGGTGGGGGCAGTACAGAGGCGGGGAGGGGACACAGAGCGCGGGCAGTGGTGCGAGTGACAGGGAGCAGCTGTAAATACAGATGTGGCTTCAGTCACCTGACCGACCACTCACCTCTGGCTGTGTAGCCGATTTCCTAAGCTTCATGGACCACAATTTTCCATGGACAGGGGTGTTGGGGCAGGCAAAGCTCAGCTGGTGACACGGCTGCTTCCTAACAAGCTGATTAGTCTGCGGCCCAGGGGTTGGGGAGCGCAGGCATAGAGCACCCCTGGGAGTGAAGACAGAAGACCTGGGAAACAGGAGTTATATCTGTGGAGAGTAGGGGAGTGGGTAAGGGACATGGGTAGGATGAAGACCTGTCATTTCCCATATATACCTTTGTCACATTTTGAAGTGCATCCTGTCCCCAAAGAAGTATTCCAAGAAAGGTCCTTGCTCCTATTCAAAGGTACTCCCTCCCACTATTAGTTCTCAAGTTATCGAGGCAGAGGCCCTAGGAGGAAGAGGACTAGGAGGAAGAAGCTTTTCTGAATACTAAAAGATTTGTGTTACATGTGAAGTTCCAAACCAGGGAAACTCAGATCATAAAGTTTTACTGTCATCCATACCATGGAGACAACGGGAAAATACGCCAGAGGGGAAATTTTTATAAGACCGAAAGTGAGAGGAAAAGACAGTCTGAGGCCAGGGGAGGACACAAGGAGAAGAAGAGACACAGAGAAGTGTGAGATTTCAGAGGCGAGTGTCCTCTGTACTCAGGACTGCAAGGGCATGGGTAGAAACGCCAGATGGGATCGGGCAAATTCCAGGGCAGATTTTATCGTTTGGTTTGGTTTGGTTCTTTGGACATAGCCCACATGAGAGAAATCTCATGTTCATCCCAGTGCCCAGCAGCAGCGATCTAGCTAAGCAGTGGACCGAGGAGAACCCCGCCGGCCTGCTCCGGCCTGTTGACTGCACGTGCGGGATCCAGACCTTCCCGCACGCTCTGAGAGGAGGCCCGAGAAGTACAGAGTAAACCTGTGGGCCTGAGGAGGACTAAGGTAGTGCCAAGGGTGCTACAAGGTGCCAGGATCTCAGACCAAAATCCAGACAGGGACCGTGAACGCCGGAAGCATGTGCCCGTGGCATGGCCAACTGCAGGACCGGTGGCTGCAGGGAACGGCAGCCCAGCACACCCAGCACAGGGCCTTGCCAGCCACTCCGGCACCGAGACAGAGCAGTGAGAGCCGGAGGACAGGGTGCCACAGACCTTCCCCCGCTTCCGTGTGAGCACAGGCAAGGGCCAGCTCGCAGGACTATCGTTTTGCTGTGGCCTGAAAAGTACAGCTTGACGCTCCGAGCTAAACAGTGACGTTCATGTTGTGGGCGGGATTTGTCCTCGAACGCAATGACTGGCTTGATACAATGGAAAGGAAGTCACAAGACATAATTTGTGGGGATTGTAAAACACACTAGTTTAATATATTATTCCTTGTATATCAGTGTATTATGTTTATTGGTTGTAAATCACCTAAAATTCCATTAGTTATAAATAAATATACATTCATACTGCAATGGTGTAAAAACCAATATGATTTTTGTCAAGGGCTAATATTGCATATTTGCAAATTAGAATTTTATTTTCCCCTAAATATTTATTTAATAGGTGGAAACTACATAGGAAACATCAATACCAGCTATTTGTTGGAATCCACTTCTCTCTAACCTTGAACATCCAGCCAAGACTCCAATAAAATCTCCATTTTTAACTTCACCAGCTCTGAAAGCATCAACATGTCATTTATGCAAAGCAAGGGCACAGTGCATGTTTTTTTGTGTGTGTATGTACTTGCTTGTATGTGTGTAAAAGTTATATATCTAATAACCACACACACACAAAAAAAATCTTCAGGTAAAGCAGAAATCAACTATTTAAGTATATTTCAAGTATATTTCCAAGTATAATATGAATATTCTTGGAAGCTCCCAAAGTATTTCTTGTCTTGTATATTCATCAAAGAGCTGGAAAATTACACAAGAGCAATCAGATAAGGCAGTTAATATAGCTGGCACCAACGTGACTGCTTTACTCCTCCCTCTAAGATTAATTATAACTAAATTGATGTTACCAGCAGTGATTAATTTACAACTTAGGTGCAAAGTAAATGAACTAAGCAAACTGGAATTGGCACTACCAATTTCTTAAGTCTTAGCAAAGCACCCACATCATGATAAGCTATTATGCACAGAATAATTTCTCCCCAAAAATGGTTAAAATGCACAGATGTGGTCTTTGGTTTATTTTTATATATAGGCATATTTTCTTATATCTTCTGAAGCAAATTTAAATATTTAAAATAACCGTAGATTTTTATAATTGGATACACAGCATATATATGGATGGGAAGACAAATGTCTCAAGTCTCATTTACTCAAAATAAATGTAAAACGTTTTCTTCCATCCCGATCTTTTAGTATTGGTTTTAAGACCTTAGATGGGGTTGTATACAGACCCAAGTCCGCAGATGGGCCAATAGTGTGTTCTCTGAGCCAGTTTTCTCTTACAGACAATGAGGAGAATTATAACTGTTCCACAGAGCAGCTAAATAAAATAATAGGTGAGAAGCCCCGGCACATACCGGGCTGCAGGTGCAAGATGGCCAGTAGCTCCCAGTGGTCCTCCGGGAGGGGAGGAGCAGTCTAGCAGACAGCTCCCACTCCTTGCCAACACACCTGTACACTGACTCTCAGGACCATAGACATAGGGGAATAAAAGCCTACGGGACTACATGATTTCCTCCAAATAACCTGACACACCAGTCAGGAAAATGTATTTATGATGACTGTGCACTCAAATGGGATTGAGTTGGAGCATTCAAATATATTAATAAGATCTTTTTGCAGAGGGAGTATAAAGTTTCAATCCATCAGATATTTTGAAGAAATGCAGAAACATAATTATTAGTGTCATTAATATTCACCTAATAATAACACATGATTTTACTGTGGGAGCCCTGGGGGCAATTGGTTGAAGCAGGAAAGAGTGGGGTAGGAGCCAGAACTAGACTGTGGTTTGAAAAGTGTTCTCTTGTTTGTTTAAAATCAACAGTGTGCGTTCTTGGCCTGAAGCATTTACAAAATTTCCAAATAATACCATTTAACCCAGTCAAATGCCTTTTTCTGTTTCCAACAAGATTTCTTCAAAATGCACGTAACTCAATTGATTTGAATGGGATAACAAGCTAAGCTTCCCAAAGCTTTTTGCTTTTCATTTCTCAGAGCAAAGACCATATTTTAGTAATTTGCTTATTTCAAGTGTTTAGAATAGTTTCACCTGACATTAGGAGTTGCTTGATAACTCCTAGCTAAATACTATATTTTTTATACTTTAAGATTCAGAATTATTGGATAACCAATGGTTAAGAATAATGAATTCTTAAAAAGAGACTATGACAGCTATCTTTATCATTTTTAATTAAACTTTGGCCAAAATTTTTCACTACAAAGTCACTTGTACATCTTAATTAGGGACATAAAATATTATTAATGCCTAATATTTCTTTTGGACAGTTAAAATTCTTTCAAGTTCCTTTCAGATGATACCTTTTACACACTTGAAAAGATACATTTTGATAATGAAGGAGCTCAGAAAATTTCACCCCAAAATATGACTCCTCAGTATAAAGAATATTTTGAATTAAAGGCCGTTCAAGATCAAAACACACTGGCAGGGGCTTTCCCTCTATCTGCATAGACTGACCCGATCAAAAGATCAAGGGGGCAGTGGACTGCCCTTCCTCTCCTGTTGTGGCAATATATTGCAGGAAAGAAGATCAGGACCGCAAGAAGACCCAGCCCAAGTTATTTTAAACACAGTGCCTGTCTCTCAGGTTACTTTATTTGCAAAGAGAATGATTTACAAGTCACTCTGTCTCCCCATCCACTTGTCCTCCCTAGTTCCATTTGTCACCCCTAAACAGAATTACTTGTACTCCGCATTTCCCCTCCCCTCCAAAAGGGCAGGTATAAAAATATCTGAACTTCACTGGGAAATTGGGCTATCGCTATGTAATTCTCCCCATGCACATGGTATTGGTAAATAAACCTTCTCTTATTAATCTGCCTTAATTGTGAGTTGGTCGCTTAGTAAGCTTTTGGGGGAAAGGGCAAGTTTCCCCTCACCCTTACAATAATTTTAAAGAAAGTTATCAGGTTGGCTGTAAACCTTAGGTTTGACCCTAAAACACCAGAAATGAGCTGACAAAAGCTGAGGTTAAGTGACTAAAAAATTTTTAAAGTAATGTATTGCAACAGGTGGGATTACTAAGAGCCAAGGTGAGCAAGAACAGCAGAAAACAGAAATCAGCCACAAATGTGAAGATATTAAATACATTGAATATCCCATCACTTCAGTAAAACAGGCATAGTTTTGAGCAAGGAAGGAAGGACATTAAGCCTGACTTCAATGCCTCCTCTGGGCGTGGGAGCCCTCTTGCCTGCACTTCCCCATTGCCCATCCGAAGGACTCTTTCACTGCCTACCTCCCTGAGCACTCGTTATCAGCTCTTTTTGGAACACTTGTCTCTAAATTTGAAGCAAAAATAAGGAATTTTACTTCAAAAGCTATACCTTTATTTGAATACCCTGCTTCAATTTAAGAAAACAACTGAACATGAAGGGTCTTCTTCCTTTTACCTTGTACTGCTGAGACTTACTTCTAATTTAATCCCCTTCAGTGACTCTGTTGTCAAGAAATACAAAGGTGAACTAAAGATAGTGAATACCACTGGGGAATCCAAAGTCTGGAAAGGAACTTGATACACACAGGCGTACTTAGGAGCTAGTGCAAGGTTCGGTTCCAGACCACCACAACACAGCAAACACTGCAATAAAACGAGTCACGGGAATATTTTGGTTTCCCAGTGCATGCGAAAGTTATGTTTACACTATACTGGACTCTACTAAATGTACAATAGCATTATGTCTTTTAAAAAATACCAATGTACATATCTTAATTTTAAAATTAAGCCTTCAGCAAGTCGTCATCTTTTTGCTGATAGACGGTTGTGCCTCGTGCTGATGGCTGCTGACTGATCAGAGCACTGGCGGAAGAAGGTTGAAGTGGCTGTGGCAATTTCTTAAAATAAAACAGCAATCAAGTTTGCCATATCAATTGACTTTCCCTTTCAGGAAAGATGTCTCTGTAGCATGCGATGCTGTTCAATAGAGTTTTACCCACAGGAGAACTTCTTTCAAAATTGGAGTCAATTCTCTCAAACCCTGCCACTAAGTTTATGTAATCTTCTAAATCCTTTGTTGTCACTTCA